CCGGCAGAGGGCGCTCAGCCCCGCCGATTCCCGCGCCCCGCGGGGTCCCCCAGCCTGGCGGACCGATGGCGGGCGAGCTGCGCCGCCTCCTGAGGCTGCACCGCACCGAGATCGCTGTGGCTGTGGACAGCGCCTTCCCGCTGCTGCACTCGCTGGCCGACCATGACGTGGTCCCCGAGGACAAGTTCCAGGTGGAGCCCGCACCCATGCCTCCTGGCCCTCCACTCGGTCTCCCCACGAGAAGCGGTGTGACCCTGAAGCGAGTTCCAGGGGGCCCCCACTCCAGACCCCCCAACCTTAACCCGGACCCCTAAGGAGCTAGGGGATGATCCCTGAGGACCATCACCCCGAGCCAAGGGGATGGTCTCCAGGAGGAGCCCCAGGTGGACCCCCACCCCCTTCACCCCTAACATGCCTACACTACCCCTCCCACCCCTACCCACAAGCCTTCGGAGAGGATGGACACAGAGGCACCCCGGTCCCCTGCAGCCTCTCTGGGTAGCTCCACCCTCTGGTAGGATGGTGGAGGCTGGGTGGCAGGACACTGTGGCAGGACCTCCCATGCCTGCTCTGGCTGCAGGAGACCCTGCGCCTGATGGAGAAGGAGGGCTGCCCCCAGGCCGTCCACGCCCTCCTCTCCTGGCTCCTCACCCAGGACTCTGCTGCCATTCTGGAATTCTGGAGAGTCCTCTTCAAGGACTACAACCTAGAGAAATATGGCCGGCTGAAGCCCATCCTGGACAGCTTCCCCAAAGGTGGGGGAGCAGGAGCTGCTGAAGACTGGGGGCTAGCAGGGATCCCTGGGTGATCCCCCAGTGCCATCTTGGATTCTGAGAGCCAGAGGTCCAGAGCCTCACCTGCCTTGCCCTGCCGGTGTCCAGCTCTGGGGCCCACCCCTAGGAAAGGGCCTTGAGGGTGGGACCTGCTCCCTTAATCTGCAGATGTGGACCTCAGCCAGCCCCGGAAGGGGAGGAAGCCCCCTGCCAGCCCCAAGGCCTCAGTGCTGCCTCCCAGACCCCCCACCAAGAGGAAGGCCCCAGAAGAGCCTCGGGCTATCCCACCAGTGGCCCTGATCCCAAGAGGCACCTCCAGCCCAGGTACCCACTGGGAGGAGCCAGTTAGGGTCACTGGTCTTCCCTGAGTATCCAACATCCCCACACACTCAGGCTCCCACCCACCTAGGCATGGACTGTCTGGGGCTGTAGAGGCCCCTCTGGAGACTTACACACACACACACACACACACACACACACCCCATAGGGGCCCCTGCATCCCCTCAAGTCCTTTCTGCCCCAAAGGCTAAGCTCCCAGAGTCTGGGAAGTAGGTGGGAGGGAGGGAGTTGCTTCTCACCAATGAGAAAAATCAGAGCCCAGGAAAGTGAAGGAACCCCCTGGGGTCATGGAGAGCCCCTCCTGGTGCCTGCCCATCCCCCTGGCCTCCAGCACTTGCCCCCACTACCAGAGGGGGGATAGGCTGCCTCCAGCTTCCCCCTTCAGGCTCTCAATCAAAACTCAAGCCCCCCAAGAAGTTGGAGAGCAACACAGAACCTCAGCGCCTCCCACTGGGGAATGGTGAGTGGGGTACCCCCTGCCTTGTGGGTGAAGGGTCATGGGTCAGAGGAGTGCCTGCCCTGGGAGTTGGGCTGCCCTGGCCTGGTGGCTCATCCCAACAGCCCCAACTGCACAGCCGAAAAAGGATGGCATCTCTGTACAAGAGTGATCTTGCCAGTTCCCCACACCCTACCCACTGCCCACCCAGGATCTGCACCTCCTCTCAGGCATCCCTCTGCCCATCCATGTGTCCCCACCCTGCATGACCAGCCAAGACACTGCTTCCTCCTTAGTCCCTCAGCTGGACACAGCCTGGACTCTGTCCTCTCTCCCTTCCCAGGACCCTGGTCATTCCTACCCACTGTGTCAGCTGTGTGGACACTAACACCCTCTACATACACACAGCACATATGTGCACATGTGTGGCCCTGCCTCTGTACTTACCTGTGGGCCATCTGTACCTGGCAGGCTGCCTCCCCCACCCCCAGCCTGCCCTAGCTGGAGGGAAAGGACTCAGCAGCCTAGGCATCCCCATGGGTGATCTCAATGATGGATGGCCACCGTCCATTTCCCAGGGATTCAGACCATGTCAGCTTCGGTCCAGAGAGCTGTGGCTGTGTCCTCTGGAGATGTGCCAGGGGCCCGAGGGGCTGTGGAGGGGATCCTCATCCAACAGGTGTTTGAGTCAGGTAAAGGCTTTGTGGGAACAAGAGGGCTGTCAGGGCCCTAGGCCCCAGGATGGAAGGAGGACCCTACCCCAGCATCTCTACATGGGGTTCTGCTGGCTTTGGAGTGGAGGGATGGACACTGGGGCATCCCCTGAGAGGGGCCTTCTGCAAAGCCTGTGGTCCAGGTCCACATCCCAGCATGGGATGCCCAGCACGTCCAGATCCCTCTGTCTGTGTGGGTGGGTCACAGGTCATCCCTGGAGTGCTGCCTGTGCTGCTTGTGTTGCTTGGACTCACTGGCGCTGGCACTGTGCACCAGGATGGCCTGCAGCATCTGCCCACCAACTTCCCTCCCACCTCCCCAGCACCACCTCCCTGCAGGTGCCTCCAGTGATGAGGGATCAAAGTCCCCAGGAGCCAACTGCTGACCGAATGCAGGCACCCCGTGCCATCTGATAGGGCACTGCAGGGCCTGCTGGCAGCTGACTCCCACCCCCTTGCCACTGTGTCATCTGTTCCTCAGTCCCAACCGTGGTGTTGCCCCTGTGCTGGATGCTGGCTGGGGACGCTACAGACAGCCAGGGCCAGCCTAAAAGCTGATGAGGGCCTGCATCTCATCCCATCGGGGATGGTCCCAAGTCTCCTGTGTTAATTTCCTGGGACTCTTTATGAGAAACTGGCATAGACTGGGTGACTTATAACAACAGAAATTCCAAAATAGGTGTTGGCAAGGCTGGCTCCCTCAAGGGGCTCCTGGTAGCTGCTGGCAACTTGTTCCTTGGCTTGTGGCCACACTGCCCAGTGTCTGCCTCTGGCCTCACATGGCTTCTGCCTGCGGGTTCTCTCTTCTTGTAAGGATAGCAGTCACCCTAAAGTCACTGGCTTTAGGGTCCAATGTGACCTCCTAGCTAATTACACCTACACAGACATTATTTTCACATAAGTTCACATTCTGAGGTTCTGGGTGGATGTGAATTTGAGGGGACGATGTTTACCCCCAGTACAATGCCCCAGCTTCCTGCACATAGCTTCCTGGCCCCAGACCTGAGGGTGAGTGGGGTAGGGACAGCCAGAGGTGGGGCACTGAGTGTCCGTGAGGGACAGAGCTGGGCCCAGTGCCATCTCCTCTCAGGGGCCTCCAAGAAATGCATCCAGGTTGGTGGGGAGTTTTACGCGCCTGGCAAGTTTGAAGAGCCAGGTGCTGGGAAGAACAAGGCCCGCAGCAGCGGCAGCCTGAAGGCCCTGGTCCGAGCCAAGGGAGCCCAGGGCGCTGTCCCTGTAAGCACTGCCTGACTGCCCCGGGAGGCTGGGTTTTCCCTTCCCCCAAGTAACAACAAAATTGCTCCTAGCCAGGAGCTCTCCTGGGGCCTGAGGGCACCCAACACCAGTAGCCACATGGGCCCCTCCCTGACCAGGCTGCCCCCACACTGGTGACTCTCTTTCCTATAGGGTAGAGGTGACCCAAGGGTAAGCCAGCAGGGCAGGGTCCCCGCCCCTCCGGCCCTCTCCAGTGAGCCCCAGCTACACCAGGTAATCCCCAGACCACAGAAGGACCCCCCCACCCCAGAACAGTCCCATGGATTGGGTCCTTCTGTGGCCTTTGCCCTTGTCCTGGCATTCCAGTAGTTGGAGGACAAAGGGCTCCGTTCTTACTCATGGGATGGGGGGACACTTTTTTTCTTCTCTTTTTTCTTCAATAGAAAGTATTTTTTTTTTTTGGCCAAGGCTGGGTTTGAACCCACCACCTCTGGCATATGGGGCTGGCGCCTTACTCCTTTGAGCCACAGGCACCGCCCAATAGACTATATTTTTTATCTGATAATACAGATAAATAAGTCAGAGAAAGTGAGGCTCCCGCCAGGCTCAGGGTCAAAGTTGTGCCAAGCATTACCTCCTAAGGGAGCTGGGGTGGATGCCCTGCCGTGAGCCAGGAACGTGAGGGCCATGAGGATGGGTGAGCCTGACCTCTGTTCCCTGGAAGTGGTGCGGCGACAGGCTGCTGTTGTCATGAGATCTCAGCGGCTCCATGCCAGGGACACTCAGGATTGGACAGGGCCAGTCCTGCCCTGGAGGAGCAATGGGCTGCTGGGGGTCTGGGTGATTGTTACAAATGTGGTCACTGCTGTGCAGGCCATCCCAGTCAGGGGGACTTCCAAGGAGGTGGCACGCAGGACTCCTGAGGGTACCTGGAGTACTACCCAGGCAAAGGCACAAAGAGGGGATTAGGCTCTATGGGCGATAGGATGGGGCCAGACTCCCTATCCCACTGTGTGTGTGCACAGACTTGGGGGCCTGAAGCACAGCAGCCCACACTAGACTGAGCTTTTTGAAGGCCATTCTTCCCTGAGGAACGATCCCGGAAGGTGTGATGTGGGGATCACAGTCTTAGTCATGGCTGAGGCCTCTGGAGGACCTAAGCGCAGGCAGTCAGGCATTCGGGCACTGGCTGGGAGCAGGGCAGGAACTTAGGGGTCCAGGGCCTAGTGATGCTACTGTCAGACCTTTCGGGAAGGAGGTGGCCCTCAGGAGTCTGCAAGGATGTCTCTTGCCTGCACCAGAAGAATGAGGATGAATGTGCTGTGTGCCGAGACGGCGGGGAGCTCATCTGTTGTGACGGCTGCCCTCGGGCCTTCCACCTTGCCTGCTTGTCCCCACCGCTCCAGGAGATCCCTAGGTGAGCCTAACCGTGGCACTTCTGCCATGGCATCCTATCACCCCACCCCACCCACCGTTCGTGGCCACCTCTACCGCTGAGCCTGAATCAGAAGCCACCCTGAAGTCTCTCTGATCCACAGATGGGGCACTGAGGCCCAGCAGGAGAAGGGTTTGGTGTGGGTCACTGGGCTGTGTGGTAGGGCCTGGGGTTCCCCCACCTGCCATCAGCCTCCCTACCTAGCCACTCTGGCTACCTGCCTGGCCAGCAGGGCCCCTGAGGATGGGACAGCAGAACAGAGGTCTAAGGCAAAGAAGCCACCCTGTCCTCATTTACCCCAGGTTCCCAGCACAAATTCCCATAGGTGGCCATCCCTCCCCTAAGCCCTTCCCAGAACCCTGCTCCTAGATGGGTCTAGGGGCTGATAGGTGTCTATCCACCAACATGTGAGGCCCCCTCTGGTGCCTGTCCCTGGTCCCCGCAGAGCCCAGCAGCTTGTGGGGGAAGAGCCCTAGGTGGGGTCCAGAGAGCCAGGGTCAGGCCTGGGCTGTGCCCCTGTTCCCTGCATGACCGTGGCGGGGTCCTACCCTGCTCAGATGTTCCATCCCTGAGTAAGTAGGTCACTGCCCACTCCTAAAGATGACTTCCTACATACCATCCTCTCCCCTCCTGCCTCTCTGTTTCCCATTCTGCCTGGCTCCACTCCTCTTGTGAAAACGTGGGTGGGCCTAAGATACAGACATTCCAGCTCAGGGAGGCCTGAGGTGCAGCCTGCAGTGGGCCAGTGGGTGCAGGGAATTCTTGGGGCTCATTAGAGAACCTCTCACAGGGGACACCAATGGCACTGGTTAGGGTCCCCTAGGATACATATCCCATGTCCTGGGCTCTCCCTTCACTGTGTCAGGGCCTTGGTTTCTCCGTCCTTTGGGCTCCCTGCCTGTGGGTTTGGGTGCCCGTCATACCCTCTGCCCTGTCCTGCATGCCTCTGATGGTCACTGGGAGCAGTGGGACCTGGAGGTGTTGCAGCTGTCTCCAGGGAGGAGTCCAGCAGGGCCTGCCCCATGCAGAGGAGCCCCAGCCTCTAAGACTGCCTGTGGATACCCCGGTATGCCCTGACCCACCCTGGCCCAGCCACTGTCCTGTCCCTCTGCCACCCAGATTCCTATGCCCATGCCCAAGCCTGATCAACTCTGCTCTCTGCAGCAGAGCCACCGTAAGAGCTCCTGCTGGCCTGGGAAGATGCCCTTACGTGGTCAGTCTCTTACTGCCTGACTGACTGATCGCTAATAATATTCTCCAAAATATTTTAAGCTTTCTGTAACAGCAGAAATGTGAGGGATACTATTCATAGTGTTGTACACACCCGGCATTGCCTCTGATGCCTCCCCCCACAGCAGATGGGGAAGGATGAAGGCCCTGCAGGGGCAGCAGGACTGGACACAGCCCCAGGCCTGGCTGGCCCCTGTGGGATTCTTTCCACGACACCCCCCACCCTGCTGCCTTTAGTTCCAGGGTCACTGATCCCCAGGGGGTGATGGGCAGGTCCCCTGTGTTCCCTCTGAGTGCTCATCTTCTGGTTCCAGGTGCCCCTGGGGCTAAGGCCAGCAGAAGAGGAGGCGCCGGGCCTGCCCAGGGAGCCTGCAGCCAGTGCTGACACTGCTCTCCCCTACAAACACTTGCTAGCCCCACCATCAGTCCCCCCGCCCATGCTGGAGTCCTCGGCCCTGCGCCCTCTGCTGTGTGCGGGCCCTGAGGGGCAGCAGGTGAGTAGGAAACTGGGGGTTAGGGGTGCTGTCTTCAAGGGGCTCAGACCTGCTGGGCAGGTGCACCAACCTAAAACAGGAGAGGTGGGGAGGGCTTCTGGGAGGACCCTGCTGGGGCTAGGGGCAGGGAGGGGACTCCCAGAGGGCTTTCAGCAGCAGCTACATTCTCTCACCATTCTGGAAACCCCCAGCTCAGCTCTGGACTCTGGGCACCGCCACCGGCCTCCCCCTAACAGGGGCAGGGGTGGGGATGGCATGTCCTCAAGAGACTCACTACCCCCAAAGCTTTCTCCCCCAGCCCCTTCCCTCTCCTCTGGAGGTCCAGGCCCACTTGGAGGGAGCGAGTGCGGTCCGGACAGCTGGTTTCTGTGGGTCGCCCCTGCCTCCCCGGACGCACCGTCCCACCAGCGCCTCGGTCCAGCCCGTGGGTGCTTCGAGCGGCGGGGCGCGGGTTCGGTAACGCTGTCGCGCACTCCAGGTCTCCCCGCGCTGTCCTCCCCGCAGGGCCCGGCTCCCGCGCGGTGCGGCGTGTGCGGGGACGGTGCGGACGCGCTGCGGTGCGCTCACTGCGCCGCTGCCTTCCACTGGCGCTGCCACTTCCCGGCGGGCGCCGGCCGACCCGGGTGAGTGAGGGGCCGGGCGGCTGAGAGGGAGCGGGCAGGGTGGCTGGCGCGCGCCTTCCTACTCGCCTGGGGTCCCTCGCGCAGGACCGCCCTGCTCTGCAAATCCTGTTCCGGAGACTCAACTACGGTTCCGGGAGAGGGCGCTCCCGCCCCGACCGCCGCCAGCTCTGCCCCTGGGCCGACCAAGGTCAGTGCCGGCGACCCTCGCGGGGCGGGACCAGCAGGCTGAAGGCCCCGGCACGTCTCGGGGAAACCCAGGCTGCGGCTGGGCGGGCGGGCTTGCGCCGTAGCCAGGGCTCATCGCTTTTATACAATATTTTCCTTTTTACCTGACTCCTTTCTGGCAACTTAAATCTGTTTTAAAAGGAAACTCACCCTATGTCATAGTAATTATGAAATTTCTGGTGGGGTGCAGGCTGTCTCACCTCTGAGGAGGGCCTGAGAGCCTCCAGCCCCTGGATGGGGTTTCTTGGGCGCTGGGTGCAGGGGCTGTAATCCGGGGACTGGGGTGAGGGCAGGCGAGAGCAGAGCCCCGAGACCACTGCTAACATGTCGCAAATAACTGCACCCCAAAGCCGCCCTAGGGCCAGAACCCTCCGCCCCTCTTTGCAACTGAGGGATCGTCACTGCCCCCACACCCGGGGCTCACTGTGCAGAAGCCTGAAGTGGATAAGGGCCTCCTGCCCCTCCTGACCACCTCCCTACCACCTCAAGAATCTCTAGGGCCCCAGGGGGGTGGCAGTAAGTCCCCCACGCTCCTAGGTGCATACTGTGTGGGGGGACAGACCCCCAGTGTGCGAGCTGTGGCCAGGTACCCAGACAAGCCTTGACCAAGCCCTACCTAGGGGGCTGGTGTGGAACCCTGGCATGACCCACCCCTGCCACAGTCACAGTCCCCTCCCTCCTAGAAGCCTCTCCTCATTCCACCCATCTGCATGGGGAATTTTAGAGTAAAAGGGTCCAGCCTCCTTTGTCATTTCCCCCTCTCCCAGCCTCCCCCTTTCCCCAGGGATAGTGGATGTGACCCCCCCCACCCTGTCCTGAGTAGATGTCCCTCACACCCTCAAAGTGTCCTAAAGGTAGCACCAGCTTCCATATCCAGACCTCAGGGACAGCCCCCCTCAGCCTTCTAGGGCTACACAGTCTTGCAGGGCCTGTGATTAGCAGACCCAGCCTATGGAGCAGCTGAGATGTGGCTGTTTTGAGCTACAAAGTGGCAATTTCATGTGGTTCCCTGTAATATGGTCTTCTCTCCCTCCTAGCCTAGACACTGGGAGTGTCCAGGGCCTCCCTTCCTGCCCAGGCCCCTCATCCTGGGGCACACTTTGGCCCTAGAGAAGTTTGTTGGATGGGGAATGGCCAACCTCAGACCAGGCACCTTCCTCTCTGGGCTCTGGTTTTCATCCTGGCAGGGCCCCTTCTCACTGGTTCCCTGAAGGCCACATGCCATGGGGCCAGTTCCTGGAGTTGGCAGGGCCTTGGGCAGACAGCCCCAGACGCACTGAGGCCCACCTGGCCTGTGCCCGCAGCTTCTGCAGGGGGCTGGTGTTAGAATTCTGTTTTCAGTGGGGGAGTGTCCCCAAACTGCCCCCCTGCCCTGTGGCTCTGTGGGGGTCCTGCTTGAATGTCCCCAGCAGGGTTGTAGGAATGGGGTTGACCACTTCCCTCTCCCGGTTTCTAGGATAATTCTGCTGGTCATGAGCCCATCCTGCACAGGGAGGACCTGGAGTCCCTCCTCAGCGAGGTGAGTCACCCCTGCCAAAGCCCACCCGCAGCCCCTCCACTCCCCACCTCAGCTCCACGTGGCTGCCCCTCCCACTGTGAGCCCCGGCCTGTGTGCTAGGAGGCAGGTGCAGACCCTCAGCAGCAGCCTGGGGCCCCAGCATCCGCTTCCTGGAAAGGTGGGTGGGTGTGGGCAGGTGAGTCTCAGAACCTGTCCCTGGAGCATCTCACCCCAACTCAGGCCTCTGCACCCTGAGATGAACATGAAGGGTGATGGGAAAAAGATGAAGCTTTAGGGACTCCATCTCCTTTGGACAGGAGGACAGACTCCTCCAGGTTTCCCAGACTGTAGGTGGCCAACGCTAGTCCTCCTTAGTGTCTGGAGTGGCACCTTGCCCTGTGTGGTGGCCTTACATGGCACATCCCAGCAGTGCAGGTGTCTATGGAGACCCCAGAGAGGGAGAGGGGACCTAGTGCTGGAAAAGGGTGTCGTGGCAGGCACAGGATAGAGGTGGATGAATGAGGGGCAGATTCACAAGCCCCTGCGGGGCAGGTGACCTCATACTACTGAAATCTTGGGCCCGGAACCTCCTCCATCCCAGTGAGCAGTGAGCATCTGCGCCCTGCACAGAAGGGTCTGGGCCAACCCCCCTCTCTCTGAAGAAGACACCTGAGGAGACAGGGCAGCCTGGCTGCGCCCTGGGCTTAGCAGATGCTGTTAGGGGACACTGGTCAGAGTCCTTCCTGCCTGGCATATCTGGACACTGGGCCCAAGTTTCCCCAGCTTTGAATTAGAGGGTCAGATTGGATGGTGTCCTCACGTTACCATCTATGGCCATGGGTGGAGGTGGGCCTACCTGTGTCCCTGCAGTGCCAAGACTCCCTGTGCTGTCCACTTTGTCCGCAGCACTCCTTTGACGGCATCCTGCAGTGGGCCATCCAGAGCATGTCCCGCCCACTGGCTGAGGCACCCCCCTTCCTCTCCTGAAGGAGGACAGCCAAAAGAGACTGAGAGGACACCCTCTCAGTGTCCTGGGCTGATTAGGACCAGCACCCTAATCGGGTGCTGGGCCGATTAGGACCAGAAAGGACTGAAAATTCCAAGTGGTGTTAGTGCTTGTGTGCACTACCCCTGCCTCTGTGAGGGTGCCACTGCTGCCTGGCACACCAGGCAGTCATGTGCTCTGAAATAAAAGTCACTTCTGTGAGGTGGTGGGATGCTCTGCAGTGGGGTGTGTTTGTTTTGGGGAGTCTATACCCTGGTGCCTGAAGAGTAGGCAAAGCTGGCTAGGCAGGAACTCACCACACAGGGAGGAGAAATGCCTGAGTACTCACTGCACTTAGGGGAGGAGAGCTTCCCGCCGCCCTGGGGCGGAGGTCCCGTCCTTCCCAGGGCCTCTGAGGTCTCAGTTTGCCTGGCTGCGCCCACCCACAGCTTTAGCCCCCTCTGGGCACACCCAGTTCCCCAGATGGCCAAGCTCAGCTCTGTCCCATGGCCTCTGCACAGGCTGGCCCCTCTCCTGGGAACTCCCTTCTCTTGGTGCTTCATGAGTCTGGCTTCTCATCATTGAGATCTCAGCTCCAATGTCACGTCTGTATTAATTCATTCACTCATTCATTCAACAAGCCTTTATTGCACATCTTCTGTATGCTCAGCATTTTTCCAGCTTTAGGAGGTGCCAGAGGGACACTCCTTGGAAGGGACAGATTTCATAAACATGACCTCAGGGCGGGTAACTGCAAGAAACAAGGCAGGGCCAGAACAGGGCTGGGTGTGTGGGATTGCCAGGGACCTCCTTAGAGGATAGGAGCAGGGGGTGGGTCTGAGCAAGTGTGAAGGCCAGAGAGCCGTGGAGGCTGGCATGCACGTCTGCAGGGCAGGTGCAAGGTCATGGGGCTAGAGTGCCACGCCACAGGGGGTGGGGGTGGTGGGAGTGATGGGACAGTGCTTCACCTATTTCATTTGGCCAGATCATGGCTGGGACATGGATGTCCTTCCCAGGTGTCCTGTCTTCTGAGAACAGCAGCCCCACGGAGCTGGCCAGTATGTGGAAGCAGACAGCAGGGTGATCACACCTCCCTGCCCTCGGGGACTCTGGGGCAGAATGCCAGATTAGGGTCAGAGGCTCAGGGAAGGGGCGGTGCTGCTGGTCTCATCATTCGTAGGCAGTGTTAGGACACACGGTTCCTTCCTTGAGACCAAGACCAGAGCTTCTTCCCCACCTTCTGGGAAGACAAGACTGGTTGTTAACCAGGGTGACAACAAGGACTCTCCATCCTGAGCTTCTTGGGGGTCTGGAAGGTTCACACAGCCCTCTCTGGAGACCCCTGATGCCTCTTTTCAGGACACACAAGCCCCTCAGTCATCGAGCACCTGTGGGTCAGTATGGAGGCTGCCCTTGCAAGGGCAGGCCCACTCAGCTGGGCTCCATACGCTCCCCCTCTCCCAGCAGGGGACATGCCCAGAGCCTCCTTATTGAGTTGTTTGAACAAGCAGGGGCCTGGCAGCATGAACTGTGGACCCTGATGCTGTATGAAGCAGGGGGCAGCTGTCCCGGGGCACCCCAGCTACACCATGTCACTAGATGGGGAAGGACAACGTGAGGACTCAGAAACCAGGTGTCTTGGGCCATTTTCTGTTGCTTGTAACAGAGTACCTGAAACTGGGTAATATATCAGAAAAGGAATTTATTTCTTACAGTGCTGGATTTGAGAAGGCCAAAGTTGAGGGCCCCATCTGGCAAGCGACTCTGCCCTGGTGAGAGGGTTGAGTACGTGCATGTGCCAGCTCAGGTCTCTGCAATCCTGCAGAGCCACCAGCTCTGCTCTGATGACAGCCCATTCACCCATTAACCATGGCCTTGATGTCCAGGCCCCTCTCTGTCAAGGTCTAGTCCTTTCCAGGGGCCTTGTCTCACCCTTGCCAAAGTTTCCCTGAGGTGGCAGGTGGTCACTGATAGGCTGGATAGGCGGGAACTTGCAGAAGCCACTGGGGTGACATGGCAACAGCTGTGGCATTGAGGTGTGTTGCTAGCTGAGCAGGAGACTACAGGTGCCACGGACATCTTGCCCATCAGTGTCCACACCTCCCCCATGGCCTTCTCCCTCCCCAAACATACCCTTACCATGAACTCCTCTGGCCCCCCATTCCTAGGCTGGGCCTCCCCCAGCCCAGTGCAGCACTGGCACCATAGAGTCTCACCATGAGGGCCTGGGGACCCAGCTTCATCAGAACCCCTCCACGGAGAAGCACATAAGGACTCTTCCCCTGAGAGCTCTGCCAAGCGCAGTTCAGCTGTTAGAAACAGCTGAATGAATTGTGTTCATTTGGCCTTTAAAAAAGTAACTTAACAGAGCAGAAGACGGATGGCCTCAAAAGTGAGCCAGTGACGTGGCCTGCATCCACTGTCTCATGTACCCCATGCCTATGTTCCCCAGGAGTCAGGCTCTGCCTGCGCTTGGCTGTCTTTCCATGGTGAGGGTCTGTCTCGTGCACCCAGTGCCTCCGTTGAGGTCTGCCTGACATTTGCTGCCTGAGCAGTGAGCATGCTTGTGAACTGCCAGCTGCTTCCCACAGCACTTCTGGTGCTCAAGTGATCTATACGCTTGCACTGCCTCCTGCATTCGTGAGTGTCCTGGGACCACCATGACAAAGGACTATAGGCCAGGTGGCTTAAATAGCAGGTTTTATTCTGTCACAGTTCCATAAGTCCAGCAGTCCAAGGTCAAGGTGAGGCAAGTAGTTCCTGCCTCCTCTGTCTTTAGCATACAGATGGCAGCTCCTCCCTGTGTTCTCACAGGGTCATTCCACCATCTGTGTGTCTGTGTCCTCGTCTGTTTTAAGGACCCCAGATTGGATCAGAGTTGACACAGTAGAGAGCTACCCTGATGTCCCCATTTTAACTTAATCACCTCTTTAAAGACCCTGTCTCCAAATCCAGCCATGTTCTGAACTCCTGAGGGCCAGGGCCTCAGCACTAAGCCTCTTAGGAGGACAAAGGCTCTCTCTTGGACCCAGCTTGAGTCAGACTCCCCAGAGGCCTTTTCTGGCCTTGGCCCATTGAGACCAGTTCTAGCAAGAGTCCTGCTGAGTCAGGCTGGAGAGAAGCCCACCTCTGGCATCCGATGGCCTTGGACAGCTGACAAGAGCCCTCACCCCCACCTGGGTAGTCCACACCTTGGGCCTGCCGTCAGCAAGAGTCTTTCCAGTGGGTTTGGCCAGAAACTCCAACTCCCAGCGCTCCCCCATAACTGTCCACCCTGCCCGGGGTGTGCACCCACTGTGCTGGCCGCATCTGGAGTGAAGCCGTCTCTCCCTCTGCTGCAGAGCTCCATGGCTGTGGTCCCTCTGGCATGAAGTCCTCCTTGCTGCCCTCCTGCAGTGCTGAGCAGCTGACCAGCTGTGGAGGCTGGCAGTGGCCTGGTCGATAGGCAGCACTTGGGTCTATGCTCAGCCGCTGTTGGCTGGAGGTTGTGAACACAGAGCTCTGGATTTCACTGTGTGCTGGGGCCCTGTGGCTGCTCTTCCTGGAAGTGCCTGTGAGCTGTGCAAGCCCAGCCAGTTCAATGTCAGGGTCAGTCTGCATGAGGAACAAGCAGGTGAAAAATCTGGTAGATGCAGACAAAGTCAGTGTTTCTGGTTATGATGATATTCAAGATAGCAAATCGGGCCGGAACTGTTGTCCCAGAATCATGACTATATTAAAAACATTCCTGAGGGGCTGCCCTATGACAGGACTGCTCAGATGCTATTTCTCTGCTGCTTCCAGGGCAGTTTTGAAAGATGTCTCAGCTCTGTTCTGTTCATTCCCAGGGACCACGGGACTTGCAGAGCACCGCCCTGAGAAGGGCTGGCCAGCGGCTGCAGACAGGGGTCCTTGAAGGGTCCCAGGGACTTGATGGCTGGGACCAGTCTCCCAGAAGAACCCTGGAATCCACACAGGCCCCTTCCCCTCAAGCTCTGGGGCCTTGGCATTAGGGCTGGTGAGGCCTTCAGGGACTTGGAGGCGGGGTGGCAGCCAGTGGAAGACTGCATGCCAGTGGGGCCCCAGCTCCTCCCTCCCCAGCAGAAGTCAGGAAGTTTCCTCTCTGGCCAGGCACAGTAGAGTGCTGGACCTTGAATGCCACAAATGCAGGGTCCTGCATGGAGCACACTAGGGCAGGTCACCACAGTTCCATCATTCAGCTCCCAGAATATTGGGGGCATGACCCTCCCCATCAAGCAAGAGACAGAACATGCTGCTTCAGAATCTCTCCAGCCTAAAAGGACAATGGTCCAAGGGGGTTCTCAACAAATGAGCTGCCCAGAAAGCTCATCGTATACAAAGACTCAAAGACTGTATGTCCCCTGTCCCATTCCAGGGGGTTCTGCCTCCTGATCACGGACAGCAGTAATTGCTTAGACTTCAAAGAGGGCCTTGAACAAAAAGAAATAAAGTTGCATGAGTGAAAAAGTGACTTGGAAGAGAGGAAAGAACATTAAAAAATATTATCAATATCCTTAATAATACTAGCCATATCCTTAGACAGATTCCCTATTCATGAAACAAGAACAGGAGACCATGAAAGGAACACTCAGAGAAGAGCAACAGAGACAGAAACAGCAGCTGGACATCAAAGCCATGACCTCAGGGGTTGGGGGTGTCTCACGCCTGTGACCCCAGCACTCTGGGAGGCCGAAGCAGGTGAATTGCCTGAGCAAGAGAGAGACCCAGTATCTAAAGATAGCCAGGTGTTGGCAGGTACCTGTGGCTCAAAGGAGTAGGGCACCAGCCCCATATGCCCGAGGTGGCGGGTTCAAACCCAGCCCCAGCTAAAAACTGCAAAAAAAAAAGATAGCCGGTGTTATGGCAGGTGCCTGTAGTCCCAGCTACTCAGGAGGCTGAGGCAAGAGAATCACTTAAGTGCAGGAGTCTGAGGTTGCTGAGAGCTATAAGGCCACAGCACTCTACCGAGGGTGACAAAGTGAGACTATGCCTCAAAAAAAAA